TTGGTTCTCAAATTTTCCTGCTACTTTTTGTTGGTAATTACTAGATTTCACTTGGCAAGATGAAACATATCCTCCATTATCCCGGCAGTTTCCTGCAGTGGTTTTCCCACATATATTCAAGTAATAGTAATACTCTTGTCTCTCATCTTTGGCCATATAAGGTGTGACATAACCTAAGAAACAAGGAAAGAAAAAAAAAATTCAGTGTTCCAGCAAAGCAATGGCCTGGAACATGTGCTAGAAGCAGATCAGTGGTATTTGCATCAGTATTTCAGTCCCAAATGCCTACACACCAGACACTATCCCAAAGCTCCATTTCTGGCCATCAGCAACTGGCCTGAAACTACATTCATTCCTCTGTCTTCTTTAAGCAAAAAGAAGGAATTTACCTGGAGGCTGAGTAAGTGGCGTCAAGTCAATGGAGATATCATGCTGTTCATTGGTGAGACTACAGTTTCTACTCTCCAGGTAATCCCGGTGACAGGCATACTCTGTAACCCATTCAATTTCATACCGGCAGTTGATTTTGGCAGTGAGTTTGGGGCTTGTGCTCTGATGCAGAAGTGAACATGATTAAAGTTGTAAGTGAGATTCAATACAGAGAGTTCAAGCACTAACATGTGTCATAAGACCTCAAGGGACTACACACTTAAAGCAACACCTCCACAATTAGGGGATACTCCAGTCTCCAAAGTGAGAGACTTGGGATAGGATGTATTTGAGGACTTGACAGAAAATCTGAAGACAGTCTAAGAAAGATTAATTCAGTTAAGAGCTGACTTAAGACCAACATCACTTGAACTTACACCTATACAAGTATTTTCCGACTAGTGTTTCTAAACGTGCTTTGAAGAGGAAGTCATGTACCACCACCCTGGAGACTGGCAAACATGTTCCAACTAACAGACCACAGAAAGACTACAACTGCCTAAACAGATTACATCAGAGCCAGACTCAAAACCAGGATGCAATCATTTTAACTGCAGGTCATATAGTCAGCAAGCAGATAGGAGGGGGAGGAGTATAATAAAGGTCCATTCTACACCCCCTACACATTTTGGGGAAGTGGGGCAGAACACACCCCACTGTCCTCCTTCATTTCTGTGAAACAACTTCTTGTACAGGAATATTCTGAACCACTCCTGAAAACAGTATGATCAAAAGAAACTAAAAAAAATGTAAGTCATCCAACCAATGATATGTAATAAGAAAGAAACTATCACACGAACTCTGTAATTGTTCACAGGCTTTAGAAGGGGAGTTTTTGAGAATTGCTTTCATTCCATAGATTTCCATAGACATTAGGGGCTGGAAGGGACCTCATGAGATCAGGTCCAGCCCCCCTGCCATAGGAGGGAAGTCAGCTGGCCCAGCAAGAAATTAATCCAGCTGTTTTTTGAAGGAGTCCAGAGTAGATGCTTGCGCCATCTCTGGGGGGAGTTTGTTCCAGACCCTGAACACAAGCACCGTAAACAACTTTTTTCTTATATCCAGTCTAAAATAGCCTTCCTGGAATTTATGGCCACTAGACCTTGTTATCCCTTGGGGAGCCCTGGTGAACAGATGTTCTCCCAGGTCCTGATGAACCCCTCTTACGAAGTTGAAGGCTGCCACCAAGTCCCCCCTGAGCCTTCTGTTCTCCAGACTGAAGAGTCCCAAGTTCCTCAGCCTCTTCTTGTATGGCCTTCCCTCCAGGCCTTGGGTCATATGAGTGGCTCTCCTCTGAACTCTCTCAAGCTTCTCCACATCCTTCCTAAAGTGGGGGGCCCAAAACTGGATGCAGTACTCCAGCTGCGGTCTCACCAGAGCCGAGTAAAGCGGGAGGATGACTTTCCTGGTTTTGCTCGAGATGCATCAGTAGATGCACGCCAGTTTGGTTAGCTTTGCCCGCTACCATGGGTCTACTTTCTGTAAGTCTACTTTCTGTATTCTACAAGTCTATTTTCCGTATGTTTGCTTCCCCATAAGCAATGGTCAAATGCATGCCCCAGACCTGGCTAAGAGTGGAAGGGCAAGAGCAGAATAGATAAGTCTACTTGTATCATCATAGTAGAACGAAACATATCAGAAGTGACAGTGGGGAGGGAAAAGGGGTATCCCCAGTCTAAGAGAAAAGGCACGCTGAAGTGCAGATAGTTACCTAGGGTCAGGGAAAGGGACAAACAGGCTATAACATGGCCCATCAAAAACAGTTTACCTTTCGCCAGCCTCCACCTAAACAGGCCAGGGCACTCAGAGGAAGTGAAGCAGCATAAGCAATGTTCACTTCAGTCTGGTTAAGAAAGGCCTTGTTGCCAAGATCACATGGCATTGTGTGAGCTAGAGAACACACAGATGCTGGTAGATATATTAAAGTCTTTAGTTCTCACATGACAATTATTTTAAGCAGAACATTTAATATATGTGGATGAGTTCCCATTAGAAAGGCAGCATATGACACTTGTTTACTAAATAAGGACATGGGTAAAAAAAGATACAAGACAAAAGGTCAGACTGATATGGAAACAAATAAAACAGGGAGCATGTCACACAAATGAAGTTGGACAAAAGCACTTGTTAGCAAGCAGACCTCATTGCCTAGGGATAACATTCCATTCTATAAAAGAGTGGGGTATCTGTTTATTCAGCTTCTGGGCTATTCCCAATAGAGGCATAAGCTGAAATGCAAAAATGGGAATCCTGGTCTCCCTTAACGAAGACAATGAGATTTTTTTTTTTTTGATTTTTTTTTGCATTGACCAAGGTTCACGAGTACCTTAAAAAGACAGTTTCAGGACCCTGACAGAAGACAAGTATTGGCTCCCCTCCTCAACCCCACAGCTAACCCCACATGCCAATGCAAACAAGTTACAAAAAGACAGTCATTACCTCTCCCCCTCTTTTGGATGGGCACACAAAAGTAATAGTCACTGCTGGGTTATGGCCCAAACAGAAGTCTGGGATCTCTTCTTCACTGTATACTTTCTCATAACTCAGCACAAGCCTGAAAAGACAAAAGAAAAAAAACGGGGAGTCAGAGTAAATTATTCCAACTATAAATGGATGAAGTATACTAAAGTAGAAAGCTAAGTATCAAATACCTAGAACAGAATTCCTAAAACTTGCCAGAAGCCTTGGTGGCACATTTGCACTATCTGATTTTATCTTTAAAAAGGTAACTTAGGGTTGCCTACCCATTTTTGGACAAAAGAGTCTTATTTTCCCCTTAACTCCATGAGGGGAAAGACCACGCTGATACCACAATCATTAAGCTGACACCATTAAGGCTGCCTATCACTTCCCGTTATACAACTCTATTTGAAGTTTCTCATAGATCTGAAGAAACTCCAGTTGCTCAGACTGAAGTTATTCATGAGGCATGCATCTCAGGCTGCTCTTTTGGAACATTTCAGCCAACACAAAACTGCAATTCCCAAAAATGAGATCAGAAAAAAAAAAATTAATACCATAAGGTTATTATACCCACAGGTTGAAGCAGAAACTAGTGGGGGGGGGGGGGGGGGGGGGGGGGAGGGGGGTCATCAAAAAAAATGGAGGCTGCCCCAAATGCCAGCTAAGTGTAGAAGTGATTGCATGGTGTTCACTTTGCTTACAACCTAGGAATTTCTCCCTCTATGGCTGAAAGCCAGATCTGGGCATGAGAACATTCAGAGAAAGTAGGTTAGTCAGGTCCCCTAGGCTCTAAATCAGCGTTTCTCAGCCTGTGGGTCGCAACCCAAAGGTGGGTTGGATCACAAGGATACATGAAAGGGGCAAGAACTTTAAAAATGGATTCTCCTTTAAAGGAGAAAAGTGTATGAAAATGTGGCTTTTCCCTTACAGGCTGGCAGAGTTCCACACTGGAGGGCTGGAGGCAGAGGGCAACAGGTTGGGAGTGAAGGGTCCAGACTCGACACTGATGTTTACAAATGGGTCCTGGTACAAAAGAGGTTGAGAACCACTACTCTGAATGACACCCTCTCCCATCAGGGGTACAAGTCAATGAAAGGGACAAGTCAGACCAAGAGAAGAAAGACTTGGACTGGCTGAGCAGAAGTAGTAGGAAGGTGGAGGGCATTTTTGATATATCTGATGTTGAAGGGCAAGGGGGAAGGGAGGGAAAAATGATACAAGAGGTTGACACCAGAATCAGGGATAAGAAGGGAAAAAGGTGAACAGATGTATGTTCTGGTCAGATTCCTCTCCTCCCTAACTTGAAACAGAGGCAAAGCTTTCAAAGTCTCACCATTCATTCCTCTGCTGCCAGCAAATCCCTCTAAAGCTTACTGACTGTGGCTACCTAATCCCCATCTGAAAAGCTGGGACAGCTTGAATTGGACCCCTTTGTGCATATAACAGTTAATTACACCATTACATTCTGCTCTCCACCCTAACAAACTCTGGCACCATTTTATGCACAGCAGACACTGTGCTCTGTTCGTGAACAGATGTTCATTATTGTCATCTCCTCAGTGCTTGAAGAGGGGGCCAGGCCTTTCCTAACCATGTACTATTCAAACTCCAATATGAAGTACGAACTGTCAACTTCCTCACAGGCTTCTCTGTCTCCTATTGCAGCATGCAAGAGCTTCAAACATTTGTCATTCTCCCCTCCCCCCCACCCATGCACCCACAGACTAGTATAAAAATCTAGGATAACAGAACCTCAAGGCAGATATTCAGGTCAGAAAGCAACTGCGATTTTTAGCTAGATTCCAGAGACCTTGGTCCTATCCCAGTCTGGTGCACACATGGTCCATGGTATGAAGAAAAGGAATACTGCGAAGTCCTACAGGCAGCAGTGGTAAGAATAAGCCCAAGAAATCCAGTATTTGAAAGCAGAATGTTATGTTATCCCTCCCCCACACCTCTAGCACTGCTATACACCCCATACACGTCTCTGTCCAACCCCCAATAAAACCCCATGCCTTCCCCAATTGAAACATTAGAATCTGTTTGGTTGGTCTGAGATCTGTTCAGGTCTCTCCTGACCCTAGCTACTATGAAACTATGAGATGACCTCCTGAGGTTCCTTCCAACCCTAATTTTCTATGACGAAATATTGCCTCATGCTGCAGAGAAAACCCAGGGAGATGAAAAAAAAAATAAGTAGGCTTAAAAACCTGGTCCACAAAGAAGCCATAGCCTTGCTATTCTCTTTTTTAATTTAAACATACAGTATATTCAGTTAATGGAAGCCCTATGCCACCCAAGTAATAAATTAAATTAAATTACTCTGGATTTGTGGACAAAGAGAAGCCCTTATGAATTCAGACATACAATTTTCAGGCATTTACAAGTACCTGTCTTTGCCAAGCAGTTTCAGTTGTTCTTTGGGCCGGCCAACATCAAACGCATGGCCTTCCTTCAACAAACAAGCAGCACTACCTTCAGGGCATCTTCTGGTCTCATCATCTGAGCTTTCTGTTTAAAAAGAGATATGAACACTCATATACAGTGTTTGTTGTAGTACTGCGAGGTATGAATTGCAGCAGGAGTGGGTAAAGGTTTAGTTCCATTATGAAGCTGTTCCATTACAAAGTTGGCTTTACGCTTCTGAAATTACCCCTCCCATTAAAAAAAAAATCTCCAAACTGTAGTTTTCCAAAGATTTCTTTTGGCAAACCAAAACTAAAATAAAGACTGCTGAAACCAGAGGACAAAAAGAAAAAACATGCACTTCCTCTATTTCTGCCTGAACCTGTCATAACATAACTGAAGTGGTTACAACTAGCCATTTGAAATTTACTATTATAATAGTATCACTGACAGAAAAAAAACCCAAGTTAGAGGATCAAGGTTACATCAAGCAAGTGGAGTTTAACACTCCTGTCAAAGCCACCCTGATAAAATGATTTAGCTATAACTATAATGGATTCCAACTGCATGCTTATTAAGGGTTAATAGTTTTGCATACTGGAGGAGTAACTCTCAAAAAGACTTGAGGCAAATATCATACATGTCCTATTATATGAATTTCTCCCAAGGGAGGCATCATTCTGTATTTTGGGAGGATTTAAGGTTCTCCCCAATAAGGGGGAAATAATTAGGTAATTCGCCTTCCAGAGCAAAGGACAGAACAGTGTAATAATATTTTATGAGCCATTTAGTTTTAGATGTGCAGCTCTTAGACTACAATATCCAATGTCAAGTTTCAAACCAACAGAATTTGAAACAGCAATGTCTAAACAATTTTGTTAATCAGAAGAACACATTTCCAGAAGTGCCCAGGAAATACAGATAACTAAAATTGGAGCCGACTAGAAGAACACCCTTGTCCACATGCATGCACCCGATAAGATTTCAATCTTATTTCTCCATAACAATCCCTTATACTGTCTTCATTTTCCCCACACCTAGCAAATGAGGATTACAAACCACCTAAACACTTAAGCATATTTAACTTTAGGCCCATACCTTCAGTGTGCACTCTAAATGCTACTTTAAAAGTAGTCTCACTGTAGCATTCAGCTGGATTAACGATCTTTAAAATTAAGATATCCATCTATTAGCCTATGATTTGTGGTCTCAGTCCCATTCCAATTTGGCAGATGGCAGTAGCAAGACCACCACCACAACTCTGTTGGCAGTCTCAGAAAAGATGCTGCATGCAGGGCTGTTGTTTTAAAACATCCTCACCCAAGCACAGAAAGGAGACCATTTAAGTTTTCTATTACCTGAAGGCTGCCCTTTCTGCAAAGTTTCAATCAAACACTCTAGAAAACAGCAGTTAAGCTAACGAAAAGTGGACAGGCTTGCCCAGAGGCTGTATGGGCTGTTATGATTGACATGCTTATGATGCGATATAGAAAGAAGTTCAGACCTATGTCTCTGCAGACATTAATATACAAAGAATCATCATCCGAGTCATCCACCAAGTAGCTCCCTGAAATCTTGATCAGTGGATTCAAGTCATGTTTCTTCCAAGGGCCATCAAAAACATAGCAAGGTACCTAAGAAAGTTAAACAAGTAAGTTAAAATTCCAGATTCAGACCATACAAACAACCACTGAGAAACCATTTAAAAAAAAAAAAAAGTAACAGACAAGCAGCAGGAAGTTTCCCCAGAAATGAAAGTTTCAAGCACTAGGCTCCCAACAAAAATGTAAATCCAAACGATACCAACTAGTGCATAGTTTTGTTGTGCAGAGAAGCTAAGTCACAAGGATAGAGAATGCAAAGCATGCTCAAAATTGCTCAAAAGACACTGTCAGTTGAGAATTAAGTATTTGTTCTACCAGACACTCAATTTTAAACTTCTAAACAAAGGTTGGCGTACCCTTGAAATAAGCTTCTCTTTAAAGTTGCCCTAAGTAACAAAGCTACACTCAGTATTAAGACCCACCATACATAAGAACATTTTAAAACACCCACTCCACACATACTGAAAATAGAAGCAGAAGTAGTGACTTGACCAGCTGATTGTTAAACCACTTACTCCCCGTCATGCAATTCTAACATTTTTTTTTTTTTTTTTGGGGGGGGGGGGTAGGAAGTTATTTGTGCATACATTAAATATTCATTACCTCTTTTTTAGCTTTAAATAAGTCCTTCTTGCAAGCAACAAAGGTCCTCCATTCAAAGTAGTGCACACACTCAGTTGCAGTCACAAATTCAGGGGTTCCCTGTTTTAGAAGGGTACAGAATCAGAAGTTGGTTTTCAGTTTCACTACATTAAAAAGTCTAAAATAAAAAAAAGAATAAAAACCAATTTTGTTGGTACCAATTTCTTTGAAACGCAGCCTTTCTCATAAGCATGGCAGCAGAAATGACACGGGTAGATATTAAAAACACGTAAATGAATTTGTGCTGTTTGGTGTTTTTAGTGTTCTGTCTAACTAAATGACTGACCTGTTAAGACAGCACAGGCAGAGGCATTCTGCCAAGGAGCAGCAAGTCCCAATTGCTAGGCTGTACTTGAGTCCTTAAAATCTGAACAGGCATAGTCTATACTGCGTATTTTAGCAGCAGAGACCAGATCACTTTATTTTCACAGGGACTGAGCACCCACAACTCCCATTAAAAGTAAGAAGGAGTTAGAAATGTTTAAACATTTCTAAAAAGCAGGTCTCTGGTCCCCATGATTCTTTAAGGTCCAATGGAGAAAGCACAGGAAGACAGTATGTTGCTTTTCTATATCTCCCTACCATAGTATCAATGAATAGTATATTTGTCTGTCATTTGTCAACCAAGCCAGTTAGCAGTTAAGGTAGGAAGAACTAAATCTCTTCTCCTACTACATGCAGGAGCATAGGAAGAGCTAATTTCTGTGTGTGTAAAGAAAGTGAATCTGAACCAAGCCTAACCCTGCCTTTGCTATTAGTTTTTGCAGTTCCACAGCAACAGCTTATTTTTAAAGGCAATTACAGATAATACACGTATGAAATAGACACAGCTAAACAGTCTCGGAAACCAACTCTTTCTTTACCTACAAAAGGTCCCAGGCAGCAGTCAGTACTACTTCCCACTGCTTCCCTGCTATTTCTCAGCTGGAAAGGATCCCTGTGCCTTGTCTATATTAGTTCTCCATATCCTGCTTCTGAAACAAGACGTGCCAGCCAGCCAACAGGAGAACACCTTAACTATGGAAGTGACTGGTCAAGTGAACCTTTCAGGAGCTTTAACAAAATTATGCCATTTACACCAACTGCTATAGTTAGAGCTGGTCAACAATCTGATGAGCTATTGCACTGGGAAAAGGGCATGTTGTCAAAGCTGCAAGCCTTTTTGCAACATCCCAGGAAGATTTTTTTAAAGTCTCCTAAGTTCATCAGGATCAGGAAGCATGCATACAAACACCACATTTCTAACAAAACTGCACGTAAGGGCCATTTGCTGAAAAAGGTTCCAAGACTGGGAAGCCATATTGGGACAAGCTGAAAGACAGTTCAACATCTCTCAGCATCCTCTTGCCAATGCCTGACAAGCAAGGAGTGAATCTTTTGTGCAAACCCGGATCATATCATAACACAAAGTGCGAAGACAGTTAAGTCAGCCCACTTTCCAGAAAAGGGTGTGTAATAAACCTTATCAACACTAACTTCATACATCTAAAATGCAAATAAAAATCGGGAAGCACTGAAGTGCATGAACTGGTCATCCTGTATATAGAGCCCTGAGCTCCAATCACTTTGGACAGAAAGTCTGGGAGGTTCACTTTTAAGGAAATGTATTGTATTTATCTTGAATCCAAGGCACGGTATCCAAATCAACATCAGGGAAGAGGGGAGAAGCCTCATCCTAGATTCAAGCACTGGCCCAGGGCAAGCAGCTGCTGCTGCTGCCCTGACTTTGAGCCCAGGGCTGAAGCCAGAACTGCCTTCTCTGGGCCAAGGGATCTTAAGGGGGTACGGAGACCCATGGTGTGGCACACCTGGGAAACCACGCAGCCTGTTCCCTCCCCCTTCACCTCCATTTCCTTCAGCTCTGGCCCTAGCCCTGACCTCAAGCTACCACAGCTATTTCTGCCTGATTGGGCTGAGGCTGCCACTGTGCTTCAGAGCCACCCAGAAGGTAAGTGGCAGTGGGAGTAGGCAGAGGCAGCAGGGGAGAAAAACGGCTGACTATATAGCCACCTGCCCTCCACCCCCAGCAGTGGGGGGAAAACAAATTTAAAGACAACACCCCAATAATTAGCTTCTATACAAGGAAAATTATAAACAAAGCCATGATTTTCCATGTATGGAATCTAAGTTATTGGGGAGGGCTGTCTTAAATTCAAAGTCATCTTGGGTTTGGGTAAATAAGGTATTAAGTATCAGAACTGACACCTCCAAACTGAAATTTTAGCTATCTACTAAATACCTGTATTACAAGTTGATGCCCCAAATTAGAATTAGTCAAAGACTTAGTTTTGTTTCTGATCACTGTGATACTTAATTCACTGACTTATAACCATTTGGAGGGAAAAATGCTAAAAAAAAAATCTGAACATTTTAAGTTATATTTTGATTAAGCATAAAAACAGATGCTACCATATATTTTTTGTGCTTATAACATTCCCCATGAATTTAACACTTTTGGGGAAGGTCCCAAGAAGGAAGAGTTTACCTTGGAGGACCAGTAAATACTAGAAGTCTGACTTTGTGTGCCACAGCAATTAATGTTGCCACTGCTCCCTCCAAAAATTATCTGGACCCATGCAAAGAAAAAGGCTGCCAATAATGCACTCTAATTTTCCCCAGCTGGGAAGAAAGGTGCAAGTTGCATGCAAGAAAATGTACATTGCAGTCTTCATCATTGTTGTGTTCTCTAGACATTAAGTCTACAGCTTACTTAGACCAACATTTATACAACAGCTCTCATTATGAAGGTGCTCTTACAGCTGATTTTTTACAAGCGTTTCCTCTTTTTAGTACACAATTTGTTAAAGTTTTACTGCTTCTAGAAGGATTGCAGCATTAAGGGCTAGAAGAGGGCTTCTCACTGAAATCAATAAAATACTCAAGTCATCCATGACCCAAAACTCTCATGGTCCAAACTCAGAGGGTAGAATGAATTCTAAGTGGAATTCTAAATTCTAAGTGGAGGCCCTCCAGGCCTCCAGGTTCTTGACCACCTGGGCAATAGTGATCATCGCGTGCTGGAATTCACCATCCAGCGTAGAGTGTCAAGGGCCCGCAGCAAGGTGGTAGCCCTAGACTTCAGGAGGGCCAACTTCAGTGAGATGAGGAGATTAGTGGGAGAGGAACTGGGGTCCCTGAGGGCAGAGGAACTCAGCGTCCAAGAGGAGTGGTCGTTCCTTAAGGAAACGATACTCGGGGCCCAAGGGGTGTCCATCCCGACAAGAAGCAAGGGGGGCAGGAGTGTCCAAAAGCCCCCCTGGCTCACCAAGGTTGTCCGGGAATGCCTGCTTGCCAAAAAGGCGGCGTACGCCCGGTGGAAGGGGGGTGTAATCTCCAAAAAGGAGTATACCTCCTCTGCTCGGGCCTGCAGGCGGGCTGTTAGGAAGGCCAAGGCGGATATAGAGCTCGGATTAGCGTCCAGGATTAAGGATAACAAAAAGTCCTTTTTCAAATATATTGGGAGGATGAAGAAGGCGCCGGGTAATGTGGGGCCCCTGCAGGATATGCGGGGCAATCTGGTGGTTGCGTCAGAGGATAAAGCGGACCTCTTTAACCAATTCTTCACCTCCGTTTTCTTGTGCAGGGACCGGGACTTCCCTGCTGTGATAGAAGCCGGACGCGAGGGGATCGCCTTCAGACCTCAGGTTGGGGAGGACCGGGTTAGAGAGCTTCTGGAGGGGCTGGACGCGTTCAAGTCAGCGGGTCCGGATGCTCTCCACCCCAGGGTGCTGAGGGAGCTAGCTGGGGTTATTGCAGGGCCCCTGGCACGGCTCTACGAGCGATCGTGGTGCTTGGGCCAGGTGCCAGACGATTGGAAGGTAGCTAATGTGGTCCCCATCTTCAAAAAAGGGAAAAGGGAGGACCCGGGCAATTATAGGCCCGTCAGTCTTACCTCAATCCTGGGGAAGCTCTTTGAGAAGATCATCAAGGAGCACATTTGTGATGGGCCGGCATCCGAGATGATGCTCAGGGGCAATCAGCATGGATTTATTAGGGGGAGATCATGTCAGACCAACCTGATTGCCTTTTATGATCAGGTCACAAAGGCCATGGATGCAGGTGTCGCGGTGGATGTAGTCTTTCTGGACTTCAGCAAGGCCTTTGACACCGTCTCTCACCCCATCCTAATTAATAAACTAGGCGACTGTGGCATAGATGCCTACACGGTCAGATGGATTGCAGATTGGCTGAAGGGTCGCACTCAGAGGGTGGTGGTGGATGGATCATATTCGACTTGGGGGGAGGTGGGTAGTGGAGTCCCTCAGGGCTCGGTCCTGGGCCCTGCGCTGTTCAATGTCTTCATCAGCGATCTTGATGTTGGGGTGGAGAGCAACCTGTTTAAATTCGCTGATGACACCAAAATTTGGGGGGAGGTGAGCACGCTAGCAGGGAGAGAGAGATTGCAGAAGGATCTGGATAGGTTACAGGGGTGGGCAGACAGGAACAGGATGCGTTTCAATACGGACAAGTGCAGGGTGCTGCACTTGGGTAGTAGGAACCAGCAGCACACTTATAAGATGGGGAGCTCCCTACTTGAGAGCACGGAGGCGGAAAGGGATCTTGGTGTCATTATTGACTCCAAGATGAACATGGGCCGACAATGCGAGGTCATGGTTGGCAGGGCTAACCGGACCTTGTCGTGCATCCACAGGTGCATCTCGAGTAGAGCCAGGGAGGTGATCCTCCCCCTCTATGCGACGCTGGTCAGGCCGCAGCTGGAGTATTGTGTCCAGTTCTGTGCGCCCCATTTCAGGAGGGATGTGGACAACATGGAGAGGGTCCAGAGGAGGGCCACCCGCATGATCCGGGGACAACAGGGCAGACCCTACAGTGAGAGACTGCGGGACTTGAACCTATTCAGCCTCCACAAGAGAAGGCTGAGGGGGGACCTGGTGACCGTCTATAAACTCACTAGGGGGAACCAGAAGGGTTTGGGGGAGACGCTGTTTCCCCTAGCCCCTGCTGGCATAACAAGGAATAATGGGCACAAGTTGATTGTTTTTAGGGTTTGGTTTTTTTTTTTTGGGTTGTTCTCCCACCCTGGCGGGGGGTCGGGCTAGAAGATCTATTAGGTCCCTTCCGACCCTAAAACTATGAATTTTAAGTGGGAACCTCACAAGAACTACTTCAGTCATAGGTGTCACAAAATAAAAAAGTAGATGATCTTTTCATAGCTCTCTGAACAGCTAGTCAGTTAACAAAGCCTGTCCTCTGTCCAGCTATTAGATAAATATAAATGAATAGGCAGGAAATGGGAACAAGCAACTTTAGACTAACCAGAGTCTTCCCACAAAGGAAGTTAATGTTGCTTTGTATCGTGTGTTCAGTGCCTTCTTGTGAGCAGGTCCTTGTAGTGTTGAACTCTAAAAGTGTTTTAGAGCTTTCTCTCAGAGATGAGTCACCTAAATAAGAGAAAGGAAAAGTACTGGATTACCATAGCCTTTAGGGTTAAGAAGTCTGTATATTAAGAACGCACATTATTAAATTTAAGTCACACAAAAGGAAATGCAATCTGTTTTAAACACTGCTACTAAATGAAAAGATTAACCCATTTTCAAGGCATTTAAGAGGTTTTGTGAGCCTGAACATCATTTTTAAAAGGAAAATAAGAGCCTCTGAAAATTTTACACCCCCATATTTTTATTACAGGTCAGTCTCTTGTTTTTCATTTAGAAAAATCTGAGTCATGCTGGTTAATGCACTACTGCCGCAGGAGTCAAAGATGACAAGATCTGTCCAGTTACCTTTCAATGTTCCAAAAAGAACTACTACTTTTGCTCACCAGCTATACGCACAGGTAGTCACAGTGCTAAATCATCTCATTTCTTACCTACCCTCACATTCCCTCCCCTCCACTGCTTTACCTGCCTTTTAAATAATAAAAAAGGATACTCAGTCCCAAGCCTAACACAGTGAAGGATCCTGCTTAACTGAGATATCTAGGTTCTACTGCAAGAAAATTAATATTAGCACCAGTGTTTGTAACCCAAGCGCCTGGGGACATGCTGGGACAGGATGCATCAAGTCTATGGGGTTACACTTCTTAGAAGGCCACCATTTTCCTGTTACAACCCAAAGGGTGTGATTTTTGTTTTTGTGTGTGCTTTGGCACCACTGAATTATTTTCCCGCCAAATTGTAGCTTTCTTTGCAGGGTGCATTTCTTGTTGCAGCTAGGAAATGCTCGTTGCAAAGAGTTCCCACCATTTGTATTTTAATTCGAATCCCATTATTGGCTTGCGTTAAATTATTCACACGTGGCAGCTAGCGATTGGCTTGCTAGCCGTATAAAAGGCTTGGGTGGTTTCCGCCCAAGTTGGAGAACTCTGAGGAGAACCCCCATAAGGGAGGACTCCACGAACATCAGGAGGAGGAGACTTCACGTCTCGTGAAGATCTCTAATCGCTGCGGAACCTATTGGACCCAGTGCATTTAAAGCAGGCAACAGGGGTCTGATCAGCCTCTAGCCTCTCCCCGTCACTGAGCGCAAACCTCAACGTATCCTTCTCCCTGCGCGCAAAAAAAGGACCCACGGAGCCTAGCAAACTTCGTGTGAGTGAATTGTGAGTGAACAAAAGGATCCACGGAGCCTAGACAACTCCATGGGAGTGATCGAATATTGTCTGAGTCCTCAAACGAGGATTTAATTGGAGCTGTGCCTGGGAAACTGTCCAGCCTACACCGCGACCATCTTCGGTGTAAGTAAACCATCTTGAATCAACCGTCAGGTGTCCGTGACTAATTCTAGCATGTCACCTGTTCTCTCCGACCCAGTGAGCCCGGGCTGCTGGCCACAGCCCGTGCGGCGTGAAAAAGGGCCCGGATCGCTCCCCACCGCCCGCACATGGCGACAAGGATGGGATCTGGAGACGGCCCGCACATTTCCCTTTGGAGATTATCCCAGAGTTTAGCATCTCCTACTACCAAGAACACAAACCTGATATTAAGCTTAAGCTCAGCCCCTTTAATTTTACCCAAGGGCTCTGTGTTACATTTGGAACTACAATGAATAATAATTTCACCCCTTCCTGATGCTTTTAGGCATCCCCTCTAAGACTTATGTCCCTCAAGCAATCACTTGAGAGCTTGCTTTTCCTCTAATCAACCTCTCCCCATGACAGTATTCATCACCCTTCACTAACCATCCTCAGCCATTTCCTCAGTAATGCAGCACTCCAGGTACACTGCCTCAGCCCTATTGACAGAGATCTCCCCTCCCCTCCCCCCAGAATAATGTAGGTGCTGCATGTACAGCTCAGCCTTTTTCAGCTGCTAGTTCTTACAATAGAAGACCTCTAAAATGTTACTCTACCCCTGGCTGCAAGTCTGGTTAGTTCCACTATATAACTGCTGCCCCTTCTTTCCAGAGAACTGGATCAAAGGAAAGTAGGGCTGGAAGGAACTTTATGAGGTCACCTAGTCCAGCCCCGTCCTCAAGATAGGTGCATCCCTGACTAAACCATCCCAACCCAGTGTCTACTCAACCTTCTCTGGGAAACTTCCAGGGATGGAAAGTCTACAGTTTTTCTAGGTAGCCTGTTCCTGTGCTTGTCTACCCTCATAGTCAAGAGAGTTCTTTTCTCAAGCTGAACCTCATTGGAGATTCCAAACAATAAATCAGCTGCATTTTCCCCCAGTCATACCCCACTTGTCTGCAAGATTCAGCATTCAGTTAATTCCCCACTTACAATTCATAAGCAGAGAAATGAAGACCAGACCCAACTGTTCCATATACTACTTCCATGCAACACCTCATACCAGCAGCCCAGAACAGCTCATCCTTAGCCTGTGCCAGTTTTCAAGTCTACTGGATCATGCTTCTTCAAGCCTGCTTTAATTAGTATTAGCTCAAGATATGTTATGAAACAAGTTTAGCAGCATAGTTCTCTCTACCTCCACCCCATTTTTCTACAACTAAGATTACAACTAGAGAACTATCACTGAAACAAGAGTGCCAACACCAGGGTTTCTCCCTTTCTAGATCCCTCTGCCTCGAGGCCCTGAACAGATTAAGAAAAGTCGCTCTTTAAAGTATGTTCAGGACAGCAGTTCTGCACCAAGTCTAGCTGCAATCATTAGACTAAGAACCACCTAGCTGCAGCTGAACTTTGGACAAGGCCTAGCTTACATTTCAAAATAACTCAATCCATACGTTCAGCAAGATGTGATAACATCCAGAGAAGAATATGTTTTGGGAGCAGAAGGAACATGGAGATTCAGAAGGCAGGGAAAACTAGCACCATTAAACCCAAATGATGACACTGCAGAAAGTGTCAGACACTGGAATGAAGTGGTGTTTACTCTCCAATTAAAATACCAGGGAAGGGCCTAACTCCAACCAACTCTGCCTTAGCAGTCTTGGCTTTTGTGTTCGTTTTTAATTAAATCCAGGCTGAAGTTAAAGTGCAACTGGTAGAACTTGCAACAGCTGCTCGTAAATGCTGATCACCTTAAGCTGTAAAACCAGCCTACTTAACAAGTCTAAGAAAGGAAACAGTGTGGCTACCCAGCCATAACAGTGGAAAAAAGAAGAGGTGAATCAGAATGGCAGCTGGCCAGCTAAATGCTACATTTCAGTTGATTTTGCAAGACAACTTTCCATTACTCCCCATTATAAAAAGCTTTGTAAAATTTTATGTTAATTCAATTCCAGGGAACTGTTTTAGAGCATTCACATCTTCATAGTTATTCAGAGTGTTCACATGCTGGGGTGATGATTAATACAGGAAAGTACTTGATCATCCTCAAGTACTTTGCCTTGAGGCAGTGATAGGATACGTGGCAGATGCATGCTCTCAGTCTCACTTCAGCTTTCTCCTGTAGCAGCCCAAGGAAAACCTGAGCAGCCACTGAGGTGTGGCTGCAGCAGAATCCACAAACATGTTTCCTTACAGCCCATAAGACATTAGCACCCTTGCTGCTGGGAGGGAGAGAGAACAGAATTTGGTCTTCTAGCAGCCCCCACCTTTAGGATTGGCCCACACCACAGAAGCCTCTGGGGACTTTTAAAAATCTGTAAAGCAAGTGAAAAACCTCTCTCCCTTCATTTTCCTGATCAAAGGCACACCCCCCACCAGCATGGAAGCCCCACAACCTCATCACCTTGGAGGAGCAGCAACAGTACATTTGCCTCTCACAAGAGTATTGGCCCTAACCAGCAGAGCTTCACCTTTTGGTTCAATCCAGCAGTGCTCAGTCTCCAGCCTGCAGGCCAGATCCAGCCCATGGAGACACAGCATCTAGCCAGCATCAGCTCCCCACAGGTCCATTAATTTGGTGCCAATTAACACTGCCACTACTCCTCTACTGCCAAATTTCCAAGTCCTGCAGGCCCCACTCCAGGCCAGCTGGATGCAGCCATCAGACTAACCTTGCACCATTCTCGGGCCCTGGGGGGCTGAAAGGTTAGGCACCACTGGGTTAGTCCTTTGGCAGTAAGCTTAGAGGCTCTGGAAGGACAAGCTAGACATGGTTAGGCGGAGCTGAAGTTAACCGGCATACAGAAGAAAGGTGTGATAAAATGAAAGATAGATGGGGGAAGCAGAGTGGGAAGAAAAAAAAGTTAATTCATGGGATGTGGCAGAGTGTACAGTATATAGAAAAAAAATGAGTGGAGGGAAGAAGGGAAATTAGATGAGGATGGACAAAAGAGGAAGCCATACAGGGTGAGATAACCCCCACACTATAAAAAGGTGGGAAAGGGCTCCCCTGAAATCCAAAAGGCAGTTAAGAGGAGGACACAAACAATAAAAAGGTAAAGCATCAAGTAGTCCAAAAATAAGAAGGGGGGGGAAGGGAGGGGAGAAGGAAAAAAAAAAAAAAAATCAATTAGTATTACCTCACTAACAAGAGAGGTAGTTGGCAGGGTAGATAGGTAAGCTATGGACTAGCTGAGTAGTGATCCTTTTCTCATCTCTTTGACTTGCTAGGGGATTTGCAGCAGCTTGCAGCAGTATCTCTTTATGACATGCTTCATCATGAGCAAGTGTTGTCCCCAAGCAGGGACTAGGCCCAAACCTTCTGTTTTCACAAGCAGACCTGGACAGGTTGGGCATATGGGCGGAAAACAACAGAATTCAATTCAACAAGGAGAAATGCAAAGTGCTGCATCTAGGGAGGAAAAATGTCCAGCATACCTACTGCCTAGGAAATGACCTGCTTGGAGGCACAGAAGCGGAAAGGGATCTTGGAGTCCTAGTGGACTCCAAGATGAACATGAGTCGGCAGTGTGACGAGGCCATCAAAAAAAGCCAATGGCACTTTATCGTGCATCAGCAGATGCATGACGAATAGGTCCAAGGAGGTGATACTTCCCCTCTATCGGGCGCTGGTCAGACCGCAGTTGGAGTACTGCGTGCAATTCTGGGCGCCGCACTTCAAGAGGGATGCGGATAACCTGGAGAGGGTTCAGAGAAGGGCCACTCGTATGGTTAAGGGCCTACAGACCAAGCCTTACGAGGAGAGACTAGAGAAACTGGATCTATTCAGCCTCCGCAAGAGAAGGTTGAGAGGCGACCTTGTGGCTGCCTATAAGTTCATCACGGGGGCACAGAAGGGAATTGGTGAGTATTTATTCACCAAGGCGCCCCCAGAGGTTACAAGAAATAATGGCCACAAGCTAGCAGAGAGCAGATTTAGATTGGACATTAGGAAGAACTTCTTCACAGTTCGCGTGGCCAAGGTCTGGAACGGGCTCCCAAGGGAGGTGGTGCTCTCTCCTACCCTGGGGGTCTTCAAGAGGAGGTTAGATGAGTATCTAGCTGGGGTCATCTAGACCCAGCACTCTGCTTATGCAGGGGGTCGGACTCGATGATCTATTGAGGTCCCTTCCGACCCTAACATCTATGATATCTATGATATATCGCCTTCCTCCTTTCATTCACTAAAATCCCATGGATTTTTCTAATGCTATTCCAACCAAGCCTGTCAGTGGCCTGTGTCTAAGCATTATAATAGTCATAAAACCTGAAGTAACATTTTCAAGTTCTTTAAAATTCAAGGACCTCCCATTCAACTTACATTTTACAAGCATCTAATCACAGTCAGTTTGAGGCTAGATGATAGGGGGAGGGGGCAGGAGGAGAACTGGACTGATTTATTTGAATTAGAAGCTACAGATAGAACTAGTCCTAAACCTCTAGGAATAACTGGAAACAGAAACACTTGCTGTTAAGGAAATTGAGTATCAATTCGAAGCTTATTACCACCTTTCTAAGACTCTACAGAAAATAAAGGATGAACTACACATGATTTCCATTTCACAGAACTTATGAATCCTCCCCCATTCTTCAGGCCCCAACCTTAAGTTTTAAGCATGGAAAGAAGTGGTGCTCCAATAAAAATGTCTGACAAGCTGGAAGTCCACATTTTTGGCTCATAAGGTAATAAGTTAGCCTCTAGAAAGTCAATAACTGTTGGAACAAATATAACATGTACTATTTCTTTCTTAAATAAGAGCAAGTTAGAAACGAAAACAAACAAGTGCTCATGCCATGTTAATGTACAGCCTACCACTAGTCACAGAATTTAGGAGTGAAAAAAAATCAACAATAATACCCAGCCACATGATGCATCCTATGTTTTATTGCACACCCTTGGCAAACAAATCAAGCTACACACTGGAAATAAAGTATTAGGACACAAGCAGCTTGGGTAATTTAGTGCTGGGGATACATTAGCTTCTACATTGTGATCAACTGTGCAAGCTTGATTTCATATTGATGCTGCTGAACAACAAAACACTACTTCCAATTTTGAGCTACCAGATGTACGTTAATCATTTTGAGATCAGTTCTAAATTACATCACAAACATGGTATTAAAGAAGACATTTAATCAGCTCCAACTGTTTGTAATTTTACCACTGCAAAGTTAAGCAATGACGCATTTGAAGTTTTACATCTAGTGGACTTATGGTCTCGGTCGTGTTTCAGATATATTTTTTCTTCATCTTTCTGCCATAGACACAATTAGGCTTTAAGTATGCAGATCTCCAAAAGCTAGGCTTCACTAGCAAGAAAGCCATCCTAGCCATTTATGATCTCTATATAAACAAAACACACAGAGCACCCGTATTCCTAAAAAAGGAAAAAGAAGGGTACCAGAAGAGATGTTAGGACTTATTTTGCAACACCTCCCATCCTCTCACCCTTCTGGTTTAACTGACCTACTACCATGGCTTTCTATAAGCCTCACAGGAGCAGGAAATAAGAACCTTGTTCTACTGACAGATTACATATTATGCTTTTACAGGGATACAAAATGATCAGGTGGATACAGGTGTCAAGCTGTACAGAATTAAAAAAGTTTTACTTCTTGCCTGTGATAATTGGACTTAAAGAGATGTGCAAAGAGCCATTTCAGAGATAGGGCATTTCAAATACACTGCATTTAAGCAAATAAATGCCATGAATTAGAACTTAAATTTTCACAAGTATTTAGCTATTTTATACTCCCATTATATAATTCTGCATAACACACATATACCCATGTAAAGTGGTTACCTTCTGCCTGACACTCCAGCTGTTACAGCTGCTTAGGTTGCAGCTCAGTTGTTGTGATTTAGCACAAAGCACAAATCTAAAGTATACTTCAAGAACTCTGGTATTCAACTGTGACATTAATTTATTTGTGTTGGGTGCAGATACCTTTAATGGCTTAAGAGCTCTGGAAAGAGACCTGTTGACTTCCCCAGACCAGACACTTCCCACCCATCCACCCCTAAGTGTCACTGGAAATAAGTGATTCATACATAATCCCCATGGTCACTACCACTGCTAAGTACTCAAATACCCAATGAGGGACAAATAAGATTCTTACATGAATATTTTTAAGTGCTGTCAGATTGCATTAATGTAAATACAAATTAACATTAAAATGAAGTTTAAACAGGTAACTGGGATGAGAGACAATCCAAGCTTTTGTTCTCTCCATATCATACTTCAACCCACAAGCATATATTGCTGTAAGCAGGTATACACACACACTTTTTCTATCCTGAGAAACTTGGGGGGGGGGGGGGGGGGGGGTGGGGGGGGGGGGGGGAAGTGATTGAAGGTCTTTCTGTCACAGTTAGTGATGACAATATACACCTAGAAAACTTGCAAAAGTTATATACCAGTAATTTTACTAAAGATCTGAGATACAGGACACAAAATATCAATTTGTTAACTTACCTACTGACAGATAGGTCTTTTTATTCAGATCGTATGCACAAACTGCACTTGATCCTTCACACTCTTCAATAGGGTCACAGAAGTTTATTTTATAAAGCACCTGTCTGTCTGTATCAATTGCTTCCCATGTATAACTGAAAGGGAAAAAGAAAAAAAGCTTGTCAGTTGATACACATATTGATGACCGCCCAAAAAAAAAAAAAAAAAAAAGCCATTCATAAAACAGACTCCCCATGCCTGATGAAGGGTGACTGTGCCCGAAAGCTTGCCAAAATTTCCACCCCCTGACCCTCCCCTCAACTACTCAGTTGCTCTAATAAAAGATATCAAATCTACTCAAAGAGCCTTGCCTGCCATTCATAAAACACTAATTTAACTTAAGCTAAGTAGGTAACAATGCCAGTCTCTTCAGAAACCCAATTCCAAAGTTTAATCTGATTCAGGATATGCTTGCTACTTTTGCCTATGAGTGAAGAATAATGATAGGAAAGGCATTCCATCATTATACACTTCTTACGTGGGCTACTATGAATTATAGGAACCTGTGTCTAGATGTCCAAAAGTGTTTGCGTATGTGCATGCATGCCTGCGTGTGCATCCAAACTACCCTCTTCCCAACTCTACCCAGCCTGATTTTGAGTCTTATTCATCACTGAATCTCTCTGTGCCTTAGTATACACCAAGGCACCATTTTACCAAGAAGCTTCAGCCACAAGACACAAATTTATCAGATATTTCACTGCAGTCTACAGTAGACATGTCAGACATGCCCCAGCCTGAGGAGCCATTCCACCCAGCCCAGCAGCCTACCAAAAGTTGAGGGCACAGGTAGGGGGCATGATCAGCCACAATTCAGAGCCCTGACAGACATGGCAGTCAGTGGTAGCAGGGAGAGCAAGGGCTGTGTGCATACAGGCTTCCCTTGCCCTGCCACCAAAGCTGCTAGCCCTACAGATCCAACCGAGAAGGAGCCCCCAAGGTGTGGATCTGGTCCTGGGCAAATTTGATACCCTTGGCTTACAGGTTTCTGTGCAAAAACAGTGAAGTTTACTAATCTTGTTCACTCTGCTCTGCAACTGCTTGGGAAATACTATGGGCAGGAATGAAAACCTTCCAGCCCTAGTCTGCACAATCAGAATGAGAAACGTTGTTATAACCCACTGAACCGTGCCATGACCTTCTCCTCTCCAAGACCTCAAACAAATCACCTTACAGTTACAACTACCACCAGACTGAAAGTTATCGTTACTGGTAGCAAGATTAGGTAAAAAGAATTGGGCATCTGCCCCATAAACACTTCCTCCATCTCCATCAGTCTAATCTTTAACTCCTTACCCAAAAGTACACAAACACAGATGGAGCTCCCTCTATCCCAACTCTGCACATTTCTGATGTGGAGAATGAGTCAGTCACAGCATGGGGTGGAATAGAACAGAAATTATAAAATGTTGAGATATGAAAAAAAGGGGGGGGGTGGACTTCATGCCAGAACAAAGGACTGAACTAGTAGTTAAACCGAAGAAGTTGTTTTTATCTTCTGGTGGTATGGAAATAGAGAGGGGGAGGGAAAAGAGTGCTGAATTAAAGTTGGTTTGCCAGGGAATAGGAAGGCAGGCAAGCAGGCTGATGGGACAAGTTTCCCACCAAACTATAAAATGCTTTAGCAAAATGAGCATCCTGCAAAGATGGAGACAAGGAAGTTCTAGCGCTGAAATCTTCTTCCCCCAAGAAAACTCAAACTAGGTTTCCATTTGTCTTTGTGGAAAACAAAAACACACACACTTTTCCAAAGCTTTTCTTTCCATCTTGCTTTGAAGCTGAACAATCAAAACCAAGATCAAATGTTTTGATTGAGCTAAAAATCAATTGTTGTTTCCTTTTAGAAAGTGCTGAAGGTTTGGTCCCTGTTCAGAACAAAACCCAAAACAAATGCATTGTAAACCTTAAAGCCTCCATGAGAAAATTATTCTTGACATCTGGTCAGAAAACACATTATGTGCTGCCATTCTTCATTCCCATAGGGTCAGGAAAAGCAACCCCCCCAATCAACTTTCTTACAGCAGGTAATATGCACAGACAGAAATCAAGTCACTGAACCCCTGAATGAAGCAGTCCAGTTTAAGTTTGATTATAAAGAAATGAAATACCAAAACATGCCTGTCAGTCAAAAATATTTACAAAGGGCACTAAGTTTTCCCCACCCACATACAAGGGCCAAGTTAGTGTCTT